CACTCTCTCTCTCACACACTCTCTCACTCATACACACACACACACGCTCTCTCACTCATACACACACACACACACACACACACACTCTCTCACTCATACACACACACACACACACTCTCTCACTCATACACACACACACACACACACACTCTCTCACTCATACACACACACACACACACACACACACACTCTCTCACTCATACACACACACACACACTCTCTCACTCACACTCTCACACACACACACTCTCACTCACACTCTCACACACACACACTTACACTAACACACCAATAGATGGCAATAGACCCAAGACCACAGTTAGAGAACCAGATTACAACAACCCTGATGAAATTACACCTCAGGAAACATCAGCAAGGCAGACTACCAAAAAATGAAGCCAGAGGGATCCAACACACCCCGCTTCTATGGACTCCCCAAGGTACACAAGCCAGGGGTCCCCCTCAGAGCCATTGTCTCACAGCCAGGCACAATAACATATAGACTAGCCAAAGAACTGCAACGAAAACTGAAGTAATTACTAAGCAACACTACCCACTCCATCCACGCCTCCCAAGAATTCCTCAATATCATCAAGGCCACCAGAATAGAAGAGGACGAGATAATGATATCGATGCAACAGCACTATTCACATCCTTAAACATCGGCCTGTCTAAAGGGACATTTGCCACACTGCTGGACGAATCAGGAGGGTAGGTACCCCATGAACACCAACAGCATCACAATGAGAGCCCCCTGAAACTGCTGGGTCTGTGCCTCACAACCCACTTCACCTTCAACGACCGTATATTCAAACAAATCAACAGAACACCAATGGGATCCCCAATATCAGGACTGATTGCAGAAGCAGTAATGCAAACGTTAGAATGAACAGCGCTCCCCACTATCCAGTCTGGGTCCGCTGTGTAGATGACACCTTCGTGATTATCAAATGCACCAGACTAGAAGAAACCCACCAACACATAAACAACATCCTCACCGGAATAAAATTCACAGAAGAAGAAAAGAACAATAACCAATTACCCTTCCTAGATGTAATGGTGGAACGTAAGAACAACAGGGAACCCCAGACTAGCGTATGCAGAAAGACCACACACACGGGCCAGATACTTACTTACACCAGCAACCACCCCAACGCCTGGAGCTACATCAGGACATTATTCACACAGGCCACAACACACTGCAGCAACCTGGAACTGCACAGAGCAGAACAGGAGCACTTATACGGAGATTTTACAAGGAATGGATACCCAAAAAGCACAATCCGCCATTACCTTGGCAACACAGCCAGACTAGTCCCCCAATCGTACATCAGACATGTATCCAAGATGACCACAAGACTAATCAGACCCCTAAGTATCAGAGGTCTGAGGAACAGACCGAAACGTTAACTCTGTTTTCTCCTCCACAGATGCTGCCAGACCTGCTGAGCTTTTCCAGCAACTTTGTTTTTGTCCCTAGGTATCAGGGTAGCCCACAAACCAACAATCACCCTACAACAGCTACTGATGAACGTAAAAGATCCCATATCCACAACCAATAAAACTAACAATTTTCTAGAGATACTTAGGAGGATTTAAATTAGTAAAGGGAGGGGGACCCAAAGAGATAGTAAGAAAAGAGATTAGCCTCAGGGATTGTACAGATGAGAAGAGGAGCAAATCAAATAGTTAAGGCAGGCAAGAGTAAGGCAGAGAACGAGCTAAGGCTTATAAATTAAACCACATTTATTTCAATGCAAAAGGCTTAACAGGTAAGGCAGATGAACTTAGGGCATAGTTGGGAACACGGGACTGGGATATCTATTCTAGAATTTCAGAAACATGGCTCACAGAGGCGCAGGACTGGCAACTTAATGTTCTAGGATATAGATGCTATAGAGAGGATAGAAATGAGGAAAAGAGAGAAGGGGGAGTGGCATTTTTCGTTAGGGATAATATTATGGCTGTACTTGGGGAATTAAATAGTTATATGTTGAAAAGTGACCCTATTACAGAAGAGGCAGTGCTGGAGGTCTTAAAACGCATAAATGTAGATAAAGCCCCAGGACCTGATCTGGTGTATCCCAGAACTTTGTGGAAAGCTAGGGAAGAGATTGCTGAGACCTTTGCTGAGATATTTTTTATCATCGATAGCCATATGTGAGGTGCTGGAAGACTGGAAGTTGGCTAGATATGATTATTTAAGAAAGGTGGTAAGGAAAAGCTATGGAACTATAGACCGGTGATCTATATGTCAGTGGTGGTTAAGTTGTTGAAGAGGATCCTTAGAAACAGGATTTACATGCATTTGGAAAGGCAAGGACTGATTAGGGATGGTCAACATGGCTTCGTGTGTGGGAAATCATGTCTCAATAACTTGAGTTTTTTGAAGAGGTGACAAAAGAAGATTGATGAGTGCAGTGAGGTAGACATTGTCTATATGGACTCCAGCAAAGTGTTCGACTAGCTTCCTCATGGTAGACTGGTTAGCAAGGTTAGATCACTTAGGATCCAGGGGGAGTTAGCCAATTGGATACAAAATTGGCTTGAAGGTGTGAGACAAAGGATGGTGGTAGAGGGATGTTTTTTGGATTGGAGACCTGTGACCAGTGGTGTGTCACAAGGATTGGTGCTTGGGTCCACTGCTTTTCGTCATTTATATGAATGATTTGGATGTGAACAAAGTAGACATTATTAGTAAGTTTGCAGATGACTCCAAAATAGGTGGACAGTGAAAAAGATTATCACAGAGTAGAACTGGATCTTGCTCAGATGGGCCGATGGGCCAAGGAGTGGAAGTTGGAGTTTAATTTAGATAATGTGAGATGTTGCATTTTGGTAAGGCAGACTAGCGCAGGACTTATATAGTTAATGGTAGGGTCCTGGTAGGTTATTGAACAAAGACACCTTGGGGTGCAGGTGCGTAGTTCTTTGAAAGTGGAGTCGAGGTAGACAGGACAGTGAAGAAGGCATTTGGTATGCTTGCCTTCATTGACTATAAGAGTTGGGAAGTCATGTCGCGTCCATACAGGTTAGGTCACATTTGGAATACTGTGTTCAATTCTGGTCTCCCTGCTATAGGAAAGATATTGTTAAACTTGAAAGAATGCAGAAAAGATTTACAAGGATGTTGCCGGGGTTGGAGGATTTGAGCTATAGGGAGAGGCTGAATAGGCTGGGGCTATTTTCCCTGGATCGTCGTAGGCTGAGGGGTGACCTTATGGAGGTTTATAAAATCGGGGGTGGGGAGGCCTGAATAGGGAGAATAGTCAAGGTCTTTTCCCTGGGATGGGGGAGACCAAAACTAGAGGGCATGTGTTTATGGGGCAACTTTTCCACGCAGAGGGTGCTGTGTGTATGGAATAAGCTGTCAGAGGAAGTGATGGAAGCTGGTACAAGTACATTTAAAAGGCATCTGGATGGATTCACGGGATATGGGCCAAATGCTGGCA